TTCACCAGAAACTTGCTATATTGTGCAGTAGCATTATTACGTACGATTGCTTATGTTCAACAAATACGAGAAATCAATAGAAATCCTGATACGATCTATATACCGAGAGAGGAATGGGACGATTTTGACCCACAGTTGATTGCTGAAGGTCTTTTCGCTGCTGCCAATATCTTCAGGTATTGAAATAATATCATGTATACAGGGTGTTCTAGAACACAACGTTAAACCGAAACGCGAGGTCTTTCATTGATAGCAACAATCATGAAAAAACTTTTGTCAAACTGCAGCCATTTTTTGACTATTGTGTTTTATTTTTATTATTTTCGTTTATTTAATTTTTTCGTCAATGTTGAAAGGGTATATTAAAAAAATGCTCTGAAGTGCTTTCACAATATATTATATGTTTTCAGCGCCTTGAAACTAGTCCACTTATTCTCAATCAATCCACATTTGGGACCATTGCAAATTTCCTTAGGACGAATGGTTATTGACATTATAAAGTTTTTCTTTATATACAGCCTAGTGCTTTTTGCATTTGCCTGTGGTATGTATTTGAACAAAAAAATCATTAAAATTTTTGATATTACACCGATGACATCATTTTAGGATTGAATCAATTACTTTGGTACTTTGCTGATTTGGAAAGGAGCAAATGCTACATACTGCCGGGTGGCCTACCGGATTGGGCAAATCATGCTGACGCTTGTATGAAATGGCGAAGTTTTGGCAAGTGAGGACATTTAATGCATTTACTTTATTAGATATGATATTATGAAATAATTTTGTAATTTTTCAGTTTGTTCGAGTCAACACAATCTTTATTTTGGGCTAGCTTCGGCATGATAGGTCTCGAAAATTTTGAATTGAGTGGCATTAAGTCGTACACGAGATTCTGGGGCTTGCTTATGTTTGGTTCATACAGCGTGATAAATGTTATAGTGCTCTTGAATCTTTTAATAGCTATGATGTCGAATTCTTATGCTATGATTGATGTACGTAGTAAAAAAATTATTTACTAATTTTAGTATGCGTGCTTATTTATTTAATAAATTATTGACTCATAGGAACATTCTGATACAGAATGGAAATTTGCTAGGACGAGACTATGGATGAGTTATTTTGAGGAAAGTGCTACTCTTCCGCCACCTTTTAATATATTTCCTACGCCGAAGCTGTTTTGCAAACTGATTGGAGTTCGTAAGCACAGCCACTTTAAGCGAATGTCTACCAAGGTTAGTGGTGAATCCTATTCACTTATGTATCGTAAAATTTGCACAGTTAACTTTCTTACAACGCAATAATAATGTTTGAATGATGAATGATGAATGATGAATGATGAATGATGAATTATCCTCTCCAGAGTCGTAAGAACGAAGAGAGAGAGCGCGACCATCGATACACGACCGTGATGCGTTCGTTGGTGTGGCGCTACGTTTCCGCGATGCACAGGAAGTGCGAGGAGTGTCCGGTCACCGAGGACGACGTCAACGAAATCAAGAGCGACATATCGACGATGCGCTACGAAATTCTCGAAGTTTTCGAAAGGAATGGCATGGACGTGTCGTCGGCCGAGAAAAAAGAGAAAGGTCAGATTTAAAGTAATAACTAGTGGCCCATGGCATCGTGCCTTAGGGCAAATGGCTTGAACTTCCCGTAACAAAAAATATTTTTTTTAAAAAAGATTCAATTTTTTTTAAAAACTTTGAAAAACAAATAGATTTTTAGAATTTTAAAATTTTTAAAAAAATTGACCTTTTTGAAAAGTTTGATTTTTATTATACTTATATATTTTGGAATTTTTTTCTTGAACTTAACGAAGCAATCGCGATACGTTACCTGCGTAGAAACGAAATACAGAAGCGCGTTAGAGCTGCGTCGCAGTCTAGCGGATAAACATTGGCACGGAATCCATAGGAATGTAAACGAAATTTGTTCTTATTATAAAATATTTGTAGATTATCTGATAATTTGATGTGCATATGTCTAATGATCATTTTTGTCCGCCAAATTGCATTTTTTTAAAATTTAATAATGGATCTTTGAAACTTCTAATATTGGATCTTAGACCTACCTTCCCAAAAATTTAATCAGTTGTTAATTTCGGAAATACAAATGCTTTTTGAATCATTCAAATCGGGCACTCCGTTCTCTTAAAAACTGAGTTATTGTTTTTGGCACTTTTTGCCCCGTATCTTTGGAACGACTGGAACTGACTTGTTCAAAAACTAATCATCGCTTCATCCTATAGGAATCGAATGTTATTTAAATCATTCAAATCGGTTGAACCGTGCTCCCGAAATCATCGACGAAAATTTGTATCCGAACACACACACATACATCAATTTTTTCTAAGGTTTGCCAAAATGTTCAGAAATCTGTGAAACGCAAAATATATAAAAAAAAATATTTTCGATTTTTTTCAATTACAATAACTTACCCTACGGGAATAATAACACATGCACACTTACGTTGAGTTTCTATCAGGAATTCAATAGTAATAAAAACCAAGCATATATTAGGTCAAAAAAATATTATAACATTAATTTTAAAAATTTATTAAATAAAAATATTATACCAATCCAAGAAAAATCTAAACACAAAATTTGAATAATATTATTTTTAAAAAACGAAAATTTTCAATGACGATAAACACAGAAACATCTTTACAGTTTTTGTTTCGAACTGATTTTCTCTGAATATTTTCTTTATAGCCGTACTAGGTAAAAAAATGAAAATCTGGGAACGACGTCTCATGAAAGACTTCCAAGTAGTTCCAGTGACGACAGACGAAGAAACAAACATTCTTTTGATACCACCAGAAAATGAGACTTCGATAGCTAAGTTCCGTCGAGTTGCCAAAATGGTCGTTGATAACTCTAATGTTCAAGTCGACAAGTGGAATAGCGTAGTTAAAGAAGCTTGCCAAAAGTCAGTAAAAACATGCCAATTTTCATTTTAATAATAATAAAATAATTATATTGTATTGCAATCTTTAAATTCTAGCTCGCAAATAGGGCGGTGTCATAATCGCCAATCGTTCAGAAAACAACAACAATTAAAAGAAGCAATGGAGGCTGCTAAGAAACAAGTATTTTCTGCTCCTCTCCAGGATATTTTAAAGTCGCCGGCAGTTGCCGACAATATTAGATCTTTACAACAACTACTTGAAGGTTATTATTCTTTTACTTTGTATATTTTTACCTAAAAAGTTTATATTTTTTTCGGGGGTAGTGATTAAAAAAGTTTTCTGATAGCTGCAATGAGGAAACACATCAGCTATATACATACTTTGTATATATAAATTTCGATAAATTCAAATTCCAAGTATCCGTTTCAAAAAACTGTCAACGACCTTGACAGGACTTGAATTAAGATCTGAAGTTTTGAAAATTCCTTTAAATTGGTAAATATAAATCGTTTACAGGTGATGGAGAAAAATCTCCAACGATTGCTTGCTCAATCAATCAGAAAACCGACCAAGTCACACTAGTAAAAGAACCTGTAGAAACAAGTGGATCACAGCCATGTTTGGAGCAACCAGATAATACCAAGGTACATTTAGATTATTTCTAGATGATTTCGGTTTTGTTAACTTAAGATAATTGTTGAAAACATTTAGAAACAAATTGTTATACTGTGTTTGTTCTGGTTTAACTATTTGTTTTACTTTTGCTTTATAAATTAAAATTAGGAATTATAATTAGATCAGCATTCAAGTTGTTAATATCTATTTTAATTGTGTAATTCTTCGTATCTTTCTTCGAAATATTTCTGTATGTATAAAAATGTGAAGCTTCCACTAGATGTTTCGTAGTTGGTAAACAAGTTAGTTGGAGATAGCGAAAACAATACTCACTCTTGAGTTATCAAGTGGATGAATAGTGATAATTTGACATGTTTTTTTTTAAATCATACTAAACTGGTATTGCACTCTTACACAGTAATGGTGCGCTTCACGCGGGGGTGTTCTGTCGGATAAAACATCTATAACATCCCAGACTCCTGTCAAAATTTGGATAATTTTTCGACAAATTTGCCCATAATTGCAGTCCTTATAAGTCGAACACCTAATAGTTACAAACACAATTGATATTCATATTTGGTCTTCTTCAAAATATCTCATCTCAATATTTTTGTTTTCTTCTTGCTCAGTTAATTGCTTCAAATGATCATTAGAAAGAGTAGATGCTGTTTCTTAACTCTTTTTATGTTATCTTCCAAATTTATCTCAGCTATTCTGCTAATTTCACTATTTCATTCGCATTTTGGAAAATCCACAGGCTGAAATAAAAGAACGCTAAACAGAGCTGTTCTAAGTGGGGTCTCACTGTAGTTCCATACTTTTAAGAAATGGTTGATCATAGTATACTGTAGTCCAAATCATTTAGTATAACTGCATAACAAAAATGTTATGTATATAACCGTAGCAGAAATTTAAAATATGTAAATACTGATTTTACAAAAATTGTAAAAATCAAACTGAACATTTTTTATAATATCAGAAAACTGAAAATGGAACTGAACAGCATGCTGTATCAATATCTATCTTAGAAGATCAGCCAAATGTACCTGTAGGCACAACGGTTTCAATAATTAATGTTAAATCTTCGCAAGATATCAACAAATTCACAAACATTAAACAAATACCAGAACCTGATAATGTTCAAAAACCTAGTAAATCTGCATCAGGACATAAAGTTGAAGATATACAAATAGCTAAATCTAAACCAAAGCCTGGCTGGATTTAATATGCAGCAATATGAAAGTAATATTTTGAAATTAAAAATACAATATAACATTTTATTGTTATAATATAGATGTATTTCATGTAGCATAATGAACAATATTTTAAGAATAACTATATGTTGTGGATATATTTAAAGTTTTAATAACACACATAGAAATAAAGTATATAAGATAATTATAATCGTGTATACATACATAGTTATATGTGTAAGCGATGATAAATATTCTGAAAACAAGAAGTCAGAATGCATAATTTTAATAACTCTCATAATAATACTAAAAATATATCATAATTAATCATCAAAAGAGTAAAAAAAATATTTCTAATTATATTACTTATATAGTTTTATTGAGGCCACGCAGGTGCTGTTGCTCCATCCATTTCAGTAGCAACACGATTGTCAGAAAGCAATCGATGGGAGGTACCACCAATGCTAGCTCCACATTCAGGACATTTAGCTATTTGCATAGCCCCCCCACATTCGGTTATGCAATATACGTGACCCTGTGGACATGCATACCAATGACCAGACTTTAATCCCATAGCTTTTACGATCATTCTTTTGTCTTCTGAGGAGACTTCTCCTACAACTTTTATTGTTTTCATTAATTTTTCTAGTCGATTTTTTGCTACAAGTGCTTGGTCATGAGAAAATATCTGGAAGCACATAATTGCATCAGTACAAAGTTTGTAGGCAGTTTGTACTAGGCTAATGTTTTGATTTTTGACATATTCTTTCTTGGTATGAATTTTGCAAAGTTCAGTAATCCAGTGCAATCTAGAGAGCTCTCGGTCTATATCATCATATAATTGAGCACTTATATTATACTCAGCTCTTGACAAAGCATGTAAAATAATTTCACATTGGGTCAAGAATATTTTTTCAACTCCATTTTCAGTAATTTTGTTATAAAACCTCAGCAATTCCTTCATTATACCATAAATAGCCTCTAATTTGTTAATAGTTATTATATTAAGAGGTATTCGTCGTTTGTTTGTATATTTTTCTTGGGTTTGTGTATTCAAATAATTGATCATCTTCTTCCAAATTTGAGAATCTAAATAATTTGAAAACAAAAATTATAAAAATGCAATGTGAAAATAATCAGCACAATCAATTATACCTTTACTAAAATCCAGGCTTTCCTGTATTAAAACATTAATAATGGCTCGAAGCTCTGCTGTCTTCTTGTCATTTTCTTTTGGCAAACCATATACTTTTGTCTTGCACTTCTTGATATACTCATAGGCCATCTTACAAGCTGTTGCATATCTTTGAGTTTTATTAATAATGCTTTTGCATTCTGGACACTGTTTCGGAGAAATTTCTTGCGACGATGTAGGCATTGAAAACCAATCATCCAATCCTTGATATTCAAATACATGTCCACATTCTTCTAAAACAACAAATCTGAAAAAAAGTTCAGAATAATTGTGAAATATAATGAACTGTATCAGAAATGCATGCAGTATCATAAAGTATCATAAAGAATCAAAAACAAAATTAGGTGGAATTAACTTAATCAATTTATATTTAGTTTAGTGATTTATAAGTATTCCGATTTTCCGCAAATAGTTTAAATATTGTACATTATTGTTGTTCGAACACGGCGTATGTGCGAAGAGCACTTAGATCTTTCAGAAAAAATGTAATACCTCGCATCATCTTCATCTTCATTACCAAAGAAAATTGTTTTGAGTTCATCCTCATCACAAATGCGGCAAATTGGAGGGCACGGTTCACCGCACAGTCCAACGCAATCATGGTCGCATGGCAACTTCTTTTTGCATGGTTCATTACATGGATCTCTGTCGCATTTTTCGCCACATCTCTTGTTGCACTTTTTATGTTCGCATTTCCAAGTGCAGGCCTCCTAAAAGTGTGTATTAGAAAGCAATCAATACATATGAAGCAAAATAAATATATAACTTTGAAATATAGATTACGAATGTTACCTTACAACTGGCACAGGGCACTCCACATTTCTTTGTACATTTGGAATGAACACACTCATAGGTACACATTTCAGTACATGGTGGACAATATTCACGACAGGGTACTTTGCAACTGAAAATGTTTAAATATTTATGTATAAAATATAATAAATTATTTATGTAGCTATTAAATTCATCTTTGAATAAATTCAGTACCTATGTTGACAAACAAGTACATTTCCACATTTTTCCTCACATGGAATATGTATTCTTCCCTGATAACATTGGGAGCATAAGCCAGCGCATTTGTGACCACATTGAAGATATTTGTTGCACAGTTCTTTACAATTGTCCAAAAATTCATTTGTGTTTGTAATAGCTTCAGGTGTATGTAATAAATGACATGGAACATATGCAAGATGACCACATGGTGATTGGATTGCACTTTGAACAAGAACTTCACATTTTGTAGTGCATGGATCTCGACATGTGTTCTTACAACTATGACCACAAGATAATATTTTTTTGCACTTTTCATAGCAATTGGTTATGTCAGCAGCATCACCGCAGTTCATTTTTATTTTATGATGACACTGTGGTATTTCTTTTATAACTTTGACTTTGCAATTTCCACATGGTTCAAAACACTTCAACTTGCAATGGTGTCCGCATTCCAAAGTACGTTTGCAAGGATATTTGCAAGGGACATTATCTAAATCCTTAGAACAGTCCATAGTTTCATAGTGAGTACAGTTTTTATATGTTTTTTTTACTTTAATGGTACAAGGTGGACATGGTTCAAAACATTGCTTTTCGCATTGATGGTCATTTTTGCAACCCTGATAAAAATTCGGGCATGGTTTTGCACATTTGTAGTCAATGTGATCTGGATCTTTGTTTGCGTGGCAATTCAATTCACATTGATGTCCACAATCCAATCTATTAATGCACGGGAAAGGACATGAAAACTTTAAAGGATCCGCTTGGCAAGGTTTTTCCACTTCATGCTTACAAAGTGGTAATATTTCAGTTACTATTTCTCTGCAAACATATAAGTCTCGTTTTTGACCACAAGCCATCATCGCCTCATGACCACATTTTAATTTCTTCAATACTTGAACACGACAAGAGCTACACTCCTCTGAGCATAAGTTTCTGCACATATGCTGTCTCTTGCACAATCTAACATTCAAAAGTTTCAATAATAATAAAAAAATGTATATATATATATATATATATATATATAATTTATTAATAATTGAATCATTGTATTTACCTGGTGCAAGGTTCTTTACATTTATATTTCTGATGCTCTCTATCAAGTACATGGCAAACACTATTACAATAATGTCCACATGGAATTAATGAACGACAAATTCTACTGCAGCCACCTTCTGGTGCTTTATTGAAATCTTCTGCACAAGAAATTGTTGTAAATTCATCAATATGTATTTGGCATCGCAAAGTCAGATGTGGGCCCACGCAATTAATTTTTTCCAATGAATCATTGATTTTAGGCCATATTTTACTGCTGGCAACTAGATTGTCCATATTGCCAATAATGTAGAAACCTTAAATAAATATTGTTTAGAAATTACTTTTGGTAAATGTTATATGTCAATTTAAGAAACGTAATATACCTATCTTCGCTCTTGATAATGCAACACAAACTCTATTCTCAGTTTTTAAAAATCCAATTTTTGCCTCGCTATTACTGCGGACCAATGAGAGCAATATAATTTCATTTTCTTCACCTTGAAAATTATCTACAACAGTTACTTTAACGTCTTCCAACAAATTTTCTCTCCTAATTAAGGATTTTATTAAAAACATTTGCCCTAAATAGGTGGTAAGAATTGTTATTTTTGTGGGGTCATATCCTTGCAAGCAAAGATATCTGCATAGTCTCACAATCAAAGCGGCTTCAAATGAATTTTTTTTTGTAACATTGTCATCATCATTTAGTTGATCTTCGAATACATTATGTTTTATGAAATATAAACTCTTTGTAACTCCTACAACTTCAGGATACTCTAAAACACTTTCATGGTTTTGGAGATCTTCATATATATTGGGGCATACCAAACTTGCAATTTCTGGTCTCATTCTGTGTTGAACGTTCAGTTGAACACAATTCATTTTATTATTCAACATTCTTTCAAATAAAGATATGTCCAAGTTATAATATCTGCACAATTTATATGCCGCTGTTGATGGTTTTAATTGAAGATGATCACCAATAAGTATCAAGTGCTCGCAGTGTTGGGTTAAGGAAACAATAATGTGGGATTCTGGGACTTCTGCGGCTTCTTCAATTATGACAATTGGAATTTTCAATACATTTAGAGAAGCTTGCAAACGAGCTGCACAGGTAGTTGTCATACCAATGACTTTTGCTTCTTGAAGTATTGCTATATCATCAATCTGGCATATTTCAGCATGTTGCTTTTTCAGGTTTTGAATTTGAGCGCTTAAGTGAGTAATTTCATGTTCTATTTTAGTTTTCATTTTATTTTTGAAATATTTATATAGAGACCATTTCTCTTCTCTATTGCATCTTAATCCTTTTCTGGCTATAATTGGTATATTACTCATATTACCAAGAGTTCCATTGGAAAATTCTCTCATACATTCTGTAAACTTATTATAAATTAATAACTTTTCATTATATTCTCTTATTATTTCGGTATATTTAATCATTTCATTATGATCATCAAGCGGAAAAAGTGTTTCCATTTTTTTCCGTAACGCTTGTATATTGGACAGTAAAGACTTTTCATTTACAAAAACTTCCAAATTCATTGAAACACCAGAAATATCTATTAATAAATCATCATCAAAAATTCTGGTCTCTCTCATTGTATCAAAATAATCCTCTTTGCCCAAACCTTCAATTTCTTCGTAATTTATATTATCATCAACTAAATTAGGATGGCTTCTATTAATATCAAAATTTGTAATTTCCCTTTCATCTATATCTAGCAACCAATAAACAAATCTATTGAAATATTTTTTAGGCTCATTCAAACATTCTGGGAAAACTTTGGCATCCCAATCAGCTATAATACACTTATTTTCTTTTATTAATTCCAAATCTTGAAGTTTACTTTGAAAAGCCCTATATGCATCATTTAATTCAAATAATACTTGAGGACGGTTTTTTCTTCTGAAATTACTTAAATTAAATTTATTTAACCTTTCATTTTTTGAACGATTTCCTACTCTAATAATATTTTGTGTGTATGGAATTAAACCTTCTAAAAACTGATCTAGTGCATGGTTAGTATAGCAAACTATTAACATTTGCTTGTCTCTTATATTTCTCAAAAGAATAGAGGCCACTTTCAAAGCAATGTAAGTTTTTCCCGTTCCAGGTGGGCCTTGTATTATTGAAAATTCATTAGTTAAGGCCAACTGTACAGCTTTATACTGTGAATCATTTAATTCAAGTTTTTCAGCATCAGGCCATTGTTTGAAATCAGTTACGTTTATCTCTAAATGATGATGAGTATAGATTTTTCCTTCTTGCAGATATTTTGGTCTATTAGACTCACACTGAAAGTGTACGTGTATAACTATCTTAATAAATTAAGATTAATTAGATAATATAAGATTACTTTAGTTTTAGACTAACCTGAACATTTACCAAATATTTTTGCATTGGAAAATTGTGTTCGGCAAGCCTTTTTAAAGCCTTCAGTACATGAAAATAGGGCTCAAAGTAAATCTCACTTTCAACCATCCAATGTATATCTTGAGATCTGAATAATTGATCTTCTAGGTGAGAAAACTCTTCACATAATTGAACTACTAACTAGAAGTACAAAAAATAATTTACATCATGTAATAAAAATTATAATGAAATAATGATTTTCCATACATAACCATCCATAAGGAGCTTTATATCACGCTCAACTACTGTTCCAAATATTAAACTTTGAAATTTATTAGATGTGAAGCATAACAAGGAGCCAAATAAAAACCTTTTAGATTGTTCCCAATTTGTTTTATTTTTCATAGATTTGGCACTTTGTAATCTATAAATAAATTTTATTAGGATGATCAATGTAAACATATTGATAAATAATATTATTTCAATTACCTATCAGCTTTAAAGTCTACTAAAATGCCCACAGCACTTTTAGATAAATATCGTGAAACAAATTTCACGTTTTTGTAAACATGTATGCTTGATTTATTCTTTTTTCTTTTTCCTTCATTATTATTATTCAATAATTCTTGAACTCCTATTGATCAGTAATTAATTAATAGACAATATCAAATAAATAAAATATATATGTATATGTATATATATATATATGCATATACCTTCTCTCATGGGAGAAATAAAATCCTCTCTCAATAATCTAAACTGCACATCTAAGTAATGTTCTACACTAACATAGGAACCTTCTTTAATATTAGGTCGTAGAAATGGCTTTTCATTTGAAAGTATGTCTGCGGGATTAGGATAAATACCTAGTGAGCGAAAATTTTCAGGTGGTTCTTCATAATCAATATAGTTCTCTTCTTTAATTTGTTCCTGAAATATTGAAATATTAATATAACAGTAAATATTTCAAATATGTATAATGTTATTTTGCTAAACACCTTTTTTCTTTGATGCTCCTCAAAAGTGTAATTAAACTTCTTTATAAAATCATCAAATTCTTTTAATATCTTTGGATATATTTTGGCTTGATTGTTTGGAGTTTGGATACTAATATTGCAGGCGTGTACTATTTCATATAGCCTGCTGCAAGCGGTATTTGGTAATAATAGAAGAATATTATTAAATAAGTTAATTAAAGAAGACCAAAACGAATTCATATCCTGATAATAGGAACTGTTCATATTTTGTTTAGATTCATGTTGAACAGCCAAATTTATTACATATAGCTGTAAATTCTTAATAAAATCCGAATTGCATATAAAAGATAAAAATTCAGTAAAACCAGTGTCACAAATTTTTGAAAGAAGTTTGACTGCCAATACTATTATATCGGGTTTCATAGGTGATTTGTAAAATTTATCAAATTCTTTCTTTTTATCTTGTAACACCACTAATATATCTGCAGGTTCCTTCTGCAGTGTTTGTTGTAGAAAATTGAATCCTATAAAAAATTCATTTGCAGTGCGTTTTTGTAAAGGTAGACTGGATAACGCAAAAGCTTGTTTATCTCGTTTTTCACCTAATAAACAAAATATTATTGAAATAGATTTAATAAATTTATAAACATATAATAAATATTAGAGAAGCAACAATCATTTGCTTCCAAGTCTCATAAAAATATTTTGATAAAATTTATTAAATTATTACTTTAACACTTGTTTTCAAACATATTATTTTAAATATTTAGTTAGTCATAATGTTATCATGTTTGCTGAGTGGCTCTTATTATTCAATGCACTGAAATACATTAGGGTAAATTGTTTTCCAAGTGGAGAGAAGTTATCAGATAAGATAATAAAAATAAATCAAAAGCTTGGTATGTTTTTGTGAACATGGTATAATACACAGACAGGCATTAACCACACATAAAAAATATTGTATACTCACATTTGTTTCTATCTGTTTCCTTCTGTGAAAATTTCATTTGTGATTTGTTTAAGTTATTCTCTTCAATTCTTATTTTATCACTTGTTGTATTGTTTTTGAATCTTTTCTCATTCCTCCACTTTCGAAAAGCATCTGCAATAGTACTCTGATTTTATTATATAAAAATATAATAAGGACTAACATAAGGTAACCATCAGGTTTACTTTTCTGGGATTTTGATGAAACTTTGCATGGTTATAGAGTTGATTGTCAAACCGAACACCTTTAAGTATTAGAGTCCTATGAGAAGCGGTTTAATTATAAAAATTAAATAAAAATTGAATAAAGCTGCGAAGAAACGGAGCGCAACGCGCGTAGATATAGGGCTTAGCGCGTTTTTCGCAGCTTTAATCAATTTTTATTTAATTTTTCTAATTAAACCGCTTCTCATAGGACTCTAATATTTAAAGGTGCTCGGTTTGACAATCAACTCTATAATCATGAAAAGTTTCATCAAAATCCCAGAAGAATAAAACTGATGGTTACCTTGTAAGTGATACCATTATACTGGTAACAATAATTAAATACAGAATTTCAACACAGTAAATTATTGCAATATAATGAATAAGCAAACTTTACAAACCAGTTCTTGTATTTGGTTTTTCAGGAAAAAATCTCTGTCCTGGTCTCCTCGGGATAGCACCAGAACCATTTCTTATAATATTTGCATCTGCTGCTTCCTTATTTCTTTGAGAATCACGCCAATCATCCATATTGATGGATAATTATATAAATATCTTCATCTATTTTTTCTGTTTCCTTAAAGTAATTAAATGTGAACTAATGTGATATACATAATAATTATTAAGAGCTTGAGCTATTCAGCTCAAGCTTAGTTTTTATAAAATTTAACGAAATATAAGAGCTGATTTAACTAACTAAACAATTACATCATGCATGAATTTAATATTATCTTTGTTAGGCAATTATGATTTTGCCTTACCTGATTTTAAATCAAAATAAAAACAGAAAATTATAGTAAGTTAACACAAAAACTAGTATTAACAAAAATACACTCGACGATTTCTGAATACAAACTTAGATTTTACTACACATTAGTAAAGATAACGACTGTTAATAATTCGGGGTTTCACCGATATGTGTTACACCATCCATATACTTATGCACTGCTTCTTTTATATATGCGTCACAATGATAATGGGTATGTTCAATGTGCAATCGCTGATTCTCGCTCGCCGCAATTTCATAATTTCGTCAATGTAGTCTCTCTAACCACTCTTTAACTTATGATAACAATTGCAGTTTAATCTGTCTCTAATCGTTAAATGTTAAATAAATGTGGTTTAAATGGTTGATTTATTAATTTTTCAAAGAAGAAATTGACTTTTTCGCCGACAAACCCGACTTGCTAAATTTATGTTTTTTTCGGCGTTTCAAGTTATTCTAAATCGTATGAGACCGAAATTGGAAAAAGTGTATATGATAAAGTAAAAGATATATGAGCAAAAATAGACCTTCCGTCGACGTTTCCTCAAAAACGGAAGCAAATGAAATTGATCCACCGTTTAAAAAAAAATTTAAAGCCATTTGATGAAACTCGATAAGAACTAAATATGTTTTGCGGGACAATCGGTCGATCTGTTTATTTAGAATTAACAAAAAACAATTCTTGGTGAATCAAATAAACAATACATTTTTGGTATTCGTAAGACCGTTTTAAATAGCAAACGTGAGTAGTTACGCGTGTAACGCATTCTTTTGTCAATCGAATTAGAAGTATAACTTCAAGAATATACATCGCAATTATACGGCCTCATTTTGGTATGCCAATAGATTTCAGTTTTTTTAGTTCTCCTTATATTAAATCCTTACATCCTTTGGAAAATTTGTTCTAAAATGTAATAAAAAAATCAGAATGATTATTTGTTAATAACTAGTGGTGTATGGCATCGTGCCTTAAGGCAAATTGCAGGAACTTCCCGTACTAAAAATTGAAATTAAAAATAAAATTCAATTTTTTTTTAACTTCCCGAAGGAGAAGTTTATGTTTTCATAAAAAATCCGAATCGCTAATTTTATGTTTTCTCGACGTTTCAAGCCATTCTGAATCGAATGAGACCAAATTTGGAAAAAGTATGTATGTGTGTGTGTGTGAACAGATTTTTGCCGTAAATCGACGTTTCTCGAAAAACGGCTGGACCGATTTCAAAAATTTAAAAACCACTCGATGTATCTCGATGAGTACTATTGTTTGTTAGTTTTGTGCGACGATCGGCCAAGCCGTTT